ATGACACGAAGGTGAATTGATGGCGAATACAGAATAGATGATGACACGAAGGTGAATTGATGGAGAATATAGAATAGATGATGACACGAAGGTGAATTGATGGCGAATACAGAATAGATGATGACACAGAAGGTGAATTGATGGCGAATACAGAATAGATGATGACACAGAAGGTGAATTGATGGCGAATACAGAATAGATGATGACACAGAAGGTGAATTGATGGAGAATATAGAATAGATGATGACACGAAGGTGAATTGATGGCGAATACAGAATAGATGATGACACAGAAGGTGAATTGATGGCGAATACAGAATAGATGATGACACAGAATGATGATTGACACGATATGAGAATACAGAATAGATGATGACACACGAAGGTGAATTGATGGAGAATATAGAATAGATGATGACACGAAGGTGAATTGATGGCGAATACAGAATAGATGATGACACGAAGGTGAATTGATGGCGAATACAGAATAGATGATGACACGAAGGTGAATTGATGGCGAATACAGAATAGATGATGACACGAAGGTAACTGATGGCGAATATAGAATAGATGATGACACGAAAGTGAACTGATGGCGAATACAGAATAGATGATGACACGCAGGTGAATTGATGGCGAATACAGAATAGATGATGACACGAAGGTGAATTGATGGCGAATACAGAATAGATGATGACACGAAGGTGAATTGATGGCGAATACAGAATAGATGATGACACGAAGGTGAATTGATGGCGAATACAGAATAGATGATGACACGAAGGTGAATTGATGGCGAATATAGAGTAGATGATGACACGAAGGTGAACTGATGGCGAATATAGAATAGATGATGACACGAAAGTGAACTGATGGGGAATACAGAATAGATGATGACACGCAGGTGAATTGATGGCGAATACAGAATAGATGATGACACGAAGGTGAATTGATGGCGAATACAGAATAGATAATGACACGAAGGTGAATTGATGGCGCATATAGAATAGATGATGACACGAAGGTGAATTGATGCTGAAGTGTCCACAGACTTCGGGATTCGTGCCATTGCCCTTGGCTTGCCGGTGAACTATGATTTGATCAGAGTTGCTGGTCATCTTCTGATGGAAATATAGGGGCTAAGCCGCATCGCCCCACATGGTGTGGCCGCTGGCCACTGTGTCTGTATGGTAATTACCCACGGTAGTTTTTGTGATATTTGTGGCTATCATATCCATAGCATACATAGCTGTAATTCCTTAATTGGTTATCTGTTTGGTGGTTTGGAACATTTGGATTATTTTTCCATATATTGGGAATAACCATCCCAATATTTTTTTGCAGAGGGGTTGAAACCACCAACCAGTTATGGTTCAACATGTATGGAACAACAAACTACATCTGTTGTTTTTTGTTTTTGAACCATCCAGTTTGGGTGGTCCATGATTTTGACCCAACATTGACACCAAATATCACTCATATATCACATATGTAGGGCAATATGTTCGTAAAGGATTAGTTAAGATGGAAAATCCTGGCCCTTCAAGTGATGTATAATGCCCAAACTACCAAACTTCTCTTCATTTGAATATCAATCACCCAGAAAGAACCACCCCAAAAAAAACAAGGTAGAGTTTGGTCCAATACTAAAATAGTGATCACTTGAACCTTTCTTATGTGTTTATATTTTTTTGTGGGGGGGGACTATAAATATGGGGGTTTCCAGAAATGGGAGATCCCGGAAATGAATGGTTTATAATGGAAAATCCTATTAACATGGATGATTTGGGGGTACCCCCATTTTAGGAAACCTCCATATATTCCCATACGAATCACAGGACATCAAGCTTCATTGATTCATCCCGTGCCAGGCTAAAAGACCAGGCCAGTGAAGTGTCGGGGATGAAGGTTGCTGGGTTGCCTTTTTTTCGTATGTCAAAATGTGTACAAAACTATCGTAGGGGAAATCAATGGGTATATTTCTAGCAACTAGAAACTATCATATATTTGGTCAAGTGGTATTTAACATGGGATTAATAACTATCAAGATCAGTAACTATCGGTAGGGGTGATTGTTTCAAAGAATTGGCATAGGATTTTAGCTGACAAATAATGGGTATATTTTGGTGGGATATTTCAACCTATAGTTTTTCTTATCCGGTGGTGAATGGAGGGAACACGACCCAGGGACCAAGCGCTTTCTCAGGCAGGGCTTCCCAGAGACTGATGACTTGCAATGCTGAAGAAAATTGGGGAAACTGATGTATCAATTTGAAGTATAAATCGTCAAAAAAAGGAGCATGGGAAAGATTTCAAAATCATTTGCAACACACTAGAAGTCACTAGAACACTCCATGGAAGAAATTCTGGGGAAAACATCTGCCAGGTGCTCTGCTGGGCGCGTAGAGGCGTAGAGTTCAGCGCCTGTGAACGTAGGAATTTCCTGCCAGGCATAGGTCAACATGATTGGCACCCTCCCCAAATGGACGGTTGAAGCCTAAGAAAATGATAGTTTGGGTCCAGGCACCCAGGCTTAGACCCACCCCCCAACCCATACTGAGACAGCTGTATGTGCCTTGAGTTCGATTGCATCTCATCCATGGCTCGTGATTGACGAAGCTGTTTCACAAGGCTGCCGAACACTGGCAACCAGAGTTGAACATTTGAAGCTGAAAAGACCTAGCGATATTTTGCAGCCCAAAAGGTGTGCCCATGTTTGCCAGAGATAAACATGGTTTGAAACCAGTTCTGTAGGACATTGCTTGGAGATATCCCTACCGAAACTGCTGATCTTCCCATGGTCCGTGCCGTTCCCAATTGTTTCGGACGACCGCAGCCTTTGTAGCTTGATACTCGCCTTGGTGGCGATGTGGCGCTGTGCTTCGGCTGCATCTTGACGTCGACCACGGCCGTCAGTGGTGGATGGAGTCATAGATTTCCCATGCGTAACAAATGATCAACATTTGTAGAAAGACAACGTGCATGGTTTATGATGGTTCGGTAGATCCTTGAGTGTCGTCCCGACTGTTTGCTTGAATGCAAAAAAAACCAACATGCACGGCAGCAAAAGGGAATGACAGCGTGAAAGCAAATAATGATGGCACATGTCATTCCTATTAATGCTGAAACAAAAAATGACGTTTTGGGTCTTAATAACATAAAAGTAAAATCCCAAAGTATGGTGGTCAGGCCTAGATACTAATGATAAAACACAGATACAATCACGGTGAATTAGCCATTTGCTTTGGTCCAGTTACTTCCAGCAGCTCTAGGTGCGCTGAGCTTGCTGGGTGTCGTTGATGCGGTCGAGGCTGGCCATTGGTCGAGGTTTCCTCATGGGGGTAGCTCAAATCATTCAAGTCATTAAAGCATTGAGACATATTCAAACAACCATGGTGACTTAGGGATCCAAGATTTTCAGAAACAAATTTCATACCACAAGGGCAGGAGATAAAGTGATTGTACCTCCTTATTTCATCTTATCTTATTTACCCAATTTCCCCCCCCTTGCAACTGGGCTGTTGGGAGCAACCCTGATTTACCATGCGTCCCTGCTAAATCCAAACATACAGTGTCCACAGATTTTGAAGCTCATGGTTTGTTTAAAACCTCATTTTCTCGGAATAGTGATCAATGTGGGTCCCAACCCTCGAATGAGTATGGCCACCGTTTCGGTGGGGGTGCTACTGATTCACAAAAAATCATCAAGCATAGATCAGCGACTGGAACGATACAAGATCATCCAAAAAAAGACTCAAAGTTGCAGAGCTGTGCATGCGATGGCTGATTTGATGGTAACATGTGGTAAAAAGGAACCAACCATTCTGCGAGTCCCGGGGTTGTGAATTTTCATACACATTTATTCCGACACTTGTACTTCCGAGAAGGCCCGAGAAGTGAAATCCTTGAGAACAGGACTGATTTGCTTACTTGAACTCGGTGTATTTTTTGGCCGCAAACGTCACTGATGGCCCCCCTACTAGTTGGGTATTCCAGGTCTTCCAGGTATTCTGACTCTACTCACGATATGGAGCTTTCCTGAGTCATGGGGGGTACCACCAGTTTTCATCCATGTGATTTTTTGGGATTTTCCATGAAATAAGCAGCATTTTCCATCCATTTTTTTGGTACCCCCATGGCTTGTGGGAGTCAGGTCGCAGGTCATCTCAATGGAGATCCAAATGTGACTGGGAAAATGGCAACAAAAGTGGTTTTTTGGGCCCGGGTGTCCCCGGAACATAGCAGATATAGCAGTTTCAATATGGACAAAATGATGAAAAAGCCATGGCATTTGAGTTTTTTGTGCCCTATTTTCATACAAAATCATATCAGTTTCTGCGATGTCCCCTGGGGATACACGTATAGATGTTGCATGTTCGAAGTTTGGTAGAGTTTCAAAGGGTCATGATTCATGATCCAAAGGGCCTGACGCAGAGCAATTTTGGGGATCCAAATGTGGGAATGGAAACTAATCCGAAATCGACCAAAATTCACTGAGGCCAGTACACAGAGCAGTGCGTGACACTCAGAGAGATGAGCGGTGTAGGTAAACCTTGGATCTGGATAAATGGAATGATGATCTACATAAGCCTTACAGTAAATCATTCCCAGCTGAACTTTTCAGTTTGGTGAATTCTTATAGATCATTTCTCCAGCTTGTGTATGGGTAAGAAACACAACACACTCAAATCTTTTGCCATACTAACCAGCAGCAAAAAGTTGATTTCGGGGATGGGGGTCAAAAGGTGGGTTTTTGGATGAGGCGATGCACGTTGGATGGCGCCATATGGCGATATGAACCACCAAGTCGGGGGATACCAAGCGGGAATAGCCAACGAATTTGGGGGAAATTCGAGATGGCACTGGGCCAAGGTGACCAGAGCTATATAGGAAAATGGCCTATACAAGTTGGATGTACCGATTAAACATGATGATTTTCCACCAGAGGGAGCCTTCAGTGAATCCCAAGCCATCCGACATCCGACGACTTGATTTCTCCAGGTGCTTGTCCGCGTGCTTCGTGACCTGGGCTTCGCTGAAGCAGATCGCACCAAAGCCTGTGACCGGAAATTCACCTGGTGCAACAGCCAGGGGCTGGTGACGAATCTTCGCCTCGTAGGCGCTGGCCTGACGGGACAGCTGTCGGGCGAGCTGGGAAGCTTGGAGGCCTTGGAGTATCTTGGGCTCAGTGACAATCAGCTGAGCGGCCAAATTCCAAAGGAACTGAGAAAGTTGGCACATTTGGAGCAACTGGATCTCTCCAACAATCAGTTTCTAGGCTGTCTAGGCTGCTGGAAGTGACACTTGTGACACAAGTAGTGTGATTTCTGGGTTGATTGAAGGTGAGTCCTTTGCAACTCAATTATGCAGGGGAATCCATTTTGGGGAATGGAATCCATCCACCCATTTCTTCTTGAGTTTGTAACCCCACTGAAGAAGATGACTGACCCCCGCATTTGTGGACTGAAAACTTTGAAGGCCCGATTTTCACGAAGCTCTTGCTTTATGAATCAGCCATTTCGCAGGTTGGAGGGAGCGATCCCTGCAGAACTTGGAGACTTGAAGGCTTTGACCCTTCTAACCCTGGCATCGAACCAGCTGACTGGCGAAATTCCCAGGGAGTTGGGGCAACTCTCCGAGCTCCGGAGCCTGAGTTTCGCGGAAAATCGTCTCAGCGGCCAGGTCCCCAAGGACTTGGGCTGCCTGAAGTCCTTGAACTTTCTGCGCCTCAATGGGAACCAACTCACTGGAGAAATCCCGGCAGAACTGGGTGGAGCCGAGAGTTTGCACGAACTCATGCTGAACGGCAATCAGATGACTGGAGAGATCCCGGCAGAACTGGCGGAGCTGAAGTCCCTGGTCATCCTGGCCCTATGGTCCAACCACTTCAGTGGAGGCCTTCCGCCAGGGCTGGGGAAGCTGCCCCGCCTGGCCAAGCTGGACCTTGCGAAAAACCGCCTGAGTGGGCCAATTCCCAAGGAACTGGGGCAGCTACCAAGATTGCAACAACTCTACCTGGACAGCAACCAGCTGAGTGGCGAAATTCCCCCAGAGTTTGGAAATCTCAAGCAGTTGAAACGTCTTTCCCTAGGACAAAATCGGCTGACCGGCCACATTCCAGCTGAAATCGGGCAGCTGAAGCATCTCCAATGGCTGAATCTCTGTCAAAACCGCTTGGCGGGTCCATTTCCGCCCAGCTTAACCAACCTCTCAACGAGGTTAAGATGGCTGCACCTGGATGTGAATCGCCTGGCTGGCGTCCTTCCGCCCGAGCTGGGCAACATGCGGCGCCTGCAAATCTTGGACCTGGGGCACAATCAATTCGTGGGAGGATTGACTCAGGTGAATTGGACCCAACTGAAAAAATTGCGAAGCTTCAGTGTCGGCTTCAACTACCTCTCGGGAGAGTTGCCAGAACTCCCAGTGCCACACCTGCAGCAGCTGGATTTGAGTCATAATCGCCTAATTGGATCCTTGGAGCCATTGGTGAAATCCTTTTGCACTTCACCTACTTCACCTGGAGGAATCTTGCGGGAGATTCACCTGAACCACAACCACTTGACGGGTAAATTGCCAGCATGTTTCATGCAATTCGCCAATTTGAAGCGCTTATCTCTGAACAACAACCGATTGGAAGGTGAAATTCCAGCCGTCAAAGCTGCGAACTTGGTGATTCTGACCCTGCATCACAACGAACTCTCAGGGAACTTGCCCGTCTCTCTCCAAGATTTGAAGCATCTGGCCGTTTTTACGGTCCACGAGAATTTCTTGGACGGTTCTGTGACGGCTCTGAAGCTCACGGCACCGTGCGTTGATAACAACAAGCTGACCTTTAGGGGCATGGGATGTGGGGTGTTAAGTTTGATCAAGAAACCTGCCAACTTCACCTGCAAGACTTGGGAAGGGCCTGGCCAACAAGGTGCACATTTGACTTCAGCGGAACGAGTACTGGTGGAAGAGAACTGCCCGGAGCTATGTAACACTTGCGAGAACTTTGTGGGGCATAATTTCAGCTCGAAGGCGACGTTCCATCACAATCGGTTTTCCTGCGAACTTCCTCAAAGTATTCAAAGTGCGAACAGCAGCAGTATTTTTGCAACAGTCGTCATGGGCAATATGGTGGGCAATGGTCGAAGGCTGAATGTGTCATGGATTTCTGAGGCAGAGAATTTCTCCTTTCTGTAGCTTCGTGGGGAATCGAGACTCGTTTTTTGCGTTCCGATTTTCCACCTTTTCGCAAACCCATCAAACCCCAAATGAAGAAAAAACACCATGACTGTGAGCTGCACCATAATTCTCCAACATATTCGAAGAAATCCAACATTTTCCAACGAGTTAGTTTGGGTTTGTTTGGGTCAGTGAAGCGTGAAACCACTCCAGGTACTACTCTCCCCGGATTTGGTGGAACCACACCACGGTCATGGTTTCGATCCTGGCGTTAAGCTGCTGTGCTCTGGTCTTCCAGACCTGCCTCCGGAGACGACTAGGTCCGAGTTGTCCGAGTTGGCGGCAGATCCGTGGGATCCATTGGATCGCCTGGTGTTTTGTTGGATTTCTTGGAAAACATGGGGAAAAACCATCATTCAGCCGTTATAACATGTTATAACTATATGATATTTCAATATATTTCATATAACTTACATCTACCGTAAACCGGTGAGTTTTCATGAGTTTTCGATGTTAGATAGCTGGGCAGGTAAGTCAGCACGCAGCTTGCAACTCTTGGAGACTTCCCGAGTGGCTGCCTCCAATTTCGCCTTGCTGAAAGTCACAGTGGCGACAATCCTCGTGTCGTGCCCGTTGTTCATATTCTTTGCGCTGGGCTCAGGCCTCATGGCTGAAAAGTAAACGGGTTAGTGATTGGACTTCTGGGAGGTCGATGGCCTATACTCAATGGGGTGACCATAAACCAACAAGCATTGACAAGCAGAACTGCGGGGCACCATCTTGTGCCTGTCCTTGCGAGATGGACGCGAAAACAAACAGCTCGGCGCTGGATAGGCTGTCAAGATGGGTATTTACCTGCAGATTTTGAGGATGGACTTGACCCATCGGTAACCCTCCGTCTCTGGTTGAAATCTGGATTAAAACAAGAATTCATTGAATGTCGTAAAGCCAGTGTCATGAACCATCCCCATTCCATCACCATCGTTGTGGGTGTTATGTTAACCATACCATACCTATATAAATGGTTTATGGCATGTGCGTTTCCCACATTCTGCAAAAATATGCATTATAAGTTGGTCTATGTTCAGCCCATTAACTATGTAGATCTATCATTGATAGCATGATATATTTACCAGAAACTTCAACCATAAACCATAAATTGCCATAGATTATATACATTCATTTACATTGGTTTATTTTTGGTTTCCTTTTTAATGATGAAGCAATGAACCAGGATCCCTTGGGATCCCATGCCAGGTTACTGCCAATGTTGTGCGCCGTTGTCTCAGCTCACTGCGGCAAATCTTGCGAAAGAGCAACCCTGGACGGAAGGCCGCCGGGGGTTCGATGGTTTTTTCGGTCACCAGAAGGATTCCCTCAGATGGTTTTAAGTGAAGTCATCATCCAAAAATCATGAAATGAGTGATGTCCTTTTCCTTTATCGTTTCGATCTTTTTAAGCAAGATATTCCTGGTAAGCAAGATATGTGCAGGGCTTCAAGCCGGAAACACGTGCTGTTCACCGTTCAACTTCCAGGGATTTTTCGCCACCGACACATGGAGATATTGACACACCCAGATCTGACATAACCCAACGAGGTGATCATTTGGGGATTTGCGGATTCCCCCAGGTGAGTTGGAACCAGAGGCTGAAACTCTCATCCTCTCTTCGCCCACGATATATTTTTCTGATCGCCAATTGGATCGACAAAATGATCGCACGATATACCCATACCATATATATATATAAATATATATATATACTGTATATATATATATATATACATATTATATTGCCTAAATATGATCTGCCCCATTTGTGGCCGTATTTTTCCTCAAGAATTCATGGTTCATTCATGTTCAATTTGATGTTCATACTAGCACCTCCCAAAAATGGCTGGTCAGCTCAGTCATGTCAACATCATCAACGTCAAAAAACACCGATCTCCCTGATTTCGGTTTTTCAAGGTGGTGTCGTGATCACGTGGTGTTTTATGATGCTGCTCTTCCGAATGGTGCATGGCAGCATGCCACATGCCACCCAAGGCACGACACGGCGACACGGCGACACGGCGACATGACACCATCATCCAAGAAGATTTGTAGAATCTTCTCTCCCCCGCTTTCTCGTAAAAAATAATAGTAATAACAACATATATACATATATACATACACTTGATTATACATCTATATGTACTCCTCTCTCTCTGTGTCTCTCTGCACCTCATTTTGGCCCATCCCGAGAAGTAGATGGTCGCAGGTGAAGTGGTGCCACTGAGCTTCAGAGAACTACAACTGCAAATTCTCGCATGGCTTCTGTGGATTTTCATTGTGACCATTCTGTCTTTGCCATCGATTCTCTTCGCAGTAGCACAGGCGCTGGAAACTGGTCATCCTTTGCTGCACATGTCTTCGGCCGATATTTTGTGACACAGATGTCTGGAACTGATTCTGCGTGACACACATTTAAGCAGTAGACTCAGTAGACCGAACCAAAGTGACATGATTCAAGTTGACTCAAGTCGTTGTGAAAAAGTGTCAGTGGTCAGGCCCGACAGGTCTGAATGGTTGGAGTCGGACTGCTTGGATCGGACACACAACGATTCTGTGAGACAACGAGAAGCAAAGTTGTACATGTTGACTGACTGATTGAGCACGTAAGTTTCTGATTTACATTATGAAATGTGCATGGGGCAGAAATGGGCAGAATGGGGATGAGCTCAACATCCAAAGTCTTGAGAGGCCTTGCCTGCGAACAACACTGCGGGCCTCAATGAGCAAATGTTGAGCAATTTTCACCGCCTTGCGCCATTTTTGATCGTTGCCATCGACCAAATCCTAGCGCATCCTTTGTCAACCAGCTATGCTGCGCGGACGGGCATCGAAGCGGATCGACTGTTGCTGGATAGCCGATGAATTCTTTGCCTTTTTCCGAAAAAAAACGATTTATGACGATTTATGAAGAAGTAAAACCAACCTAAAACTCCTAAAACCGGCTCCTTTCAGGCCTTTCTTTTTCCTTTTTTGGGACTGGATCACTGGATCACTGGATCACTGGATCACTGGATCACTGGATCACCAGGTTAATGGCCTTTCGCTTATTCTCGGCCTGGCTCTTGTCCATCTTAACCACTGTGGTGCTCCATGAGAATTGCCTGGGCGGATGGAAGCTCTTCTGGCTCGTGTGCAAAGAAGGCTCCGTGGAACATGAATCCTTTCGCTGGCAGATCTGGAGTGAAGTGATTCTGGATCCGCAAAAGGACCGGCACCATTTTCACAGGATTGAATCATCTTGATTCCATCCTTCAAAATCATGTGATGCATAGATGATGCATTTCTGGTTTTGTCTAGGGGCATACGAACTAGGTCCTAGGTGAAAGGTGGATTTTTTCACGGACATGATTTACTGACGCATCACAGAAAAATGGGTAGCCTTTCATGCTTATACTTCACAGAATCCTACCATGTCCAGCCCCCTGCAGGACATGTGCCAATTCAGTGATAAATGGTGGGCTGACGGGCGCTGTACCAGGAGCATCGTGGACGGTTTGACTCCATTGCTGCTGAAGAAACTCCTCGTCCGTACAGTGGTGCAACTTGCTAAAATCAAATTTGGGTGATAATTCGAAGAATTCTTCGAATATTTGTTCTTGTTTTCTGAATGTTTCATCAACTCGTTTCTTCGGTTGACCGTCAAATAGTTTAAGTTCTTCTAATTGTTTTCTTAATTTATTAAAGTCAATTCATGTCAATTCTATTTCTTTTTCCAATGATTTTTGATTTTAGGCAACCTCTGATTTATCTGCTTCTCTTCTACATCTCCCGCTTGGATCCACCTTCGAAGCCAGAGAAGGGACAACAGCTACGTTTCTGTGGTCTATCGGTGACCGGCTCCTTGATGCCCTTGCGACAAACTGCTCTGTTGACGACCTTTATGGAGACCTTGTTCTTCTGGAGTCCCCTGGTTCCTTTGTGACTTGGAGAGTCTGAGAAACCGGTTTTTTTTCCTCAAAAAGGCGACTACTTCATGAACTTAATCCACTCATTGATTTCTTGCATTTTTTAGTCAAAAATCATACTTGACAAGGGTACTAGTGTAGTATCAGTATCAGTATGGTTGACGGGAATCTACCAGGAAGGTCTTCATGATTTTAAGCCCCTGATTTTCTGGATGTGGATCCCACAATCCACTATTTGATCAGGACTCAAACCTGGGTTTGTCATCATTTTGACTATGAATCGCCAGTTGGGGGGGTTGATTTATGCTAATTCCTCATTTTCAGACCCAGTGGAAAGACGCTTGGTTTTTCCTTCATTTCGGAAGATTTGAGTATATTTTTCCAAAAAATGCTTCCGCGATTTCTTGCAGCGCACAGGCTGAGCCTTGCGATTCTGGGCGCCACCTTAGTGAATCACTTTCTCTTCGACTTTGCCGTGTGGCATTTCCAGGTGCACGTGCCGTCGGATGCCATGAATCGAAGTGCCTTCCTCTCCAGGCGGAGGGCGATGGCCATGGGGTACCCAGAAATGCCAAATTCACCGATTTTTTAGTGTCATTTTTGCAATTTTAGTGTCATTTTAGTGTCATTTTTGCAATTTTAGTGTCATTTTAGTGTCATTTTTGCAATTTTAGTGTCATTTTAGTGTCATTTTTGCAATTTTAGTGTCATTTTAGTGTCATTTTTGCAATTTTAGTGTCATTTTAGTGTCATTTTGCAATGTGTCATTTTTGCAATTTTAGTGTCATTTTAGTGTCATTTTTGCAATTTTAGTGTCATTTTAGTGTCATTTTTGCAATTTTAGTGTCATTTTAGTGTCATTTTTGCAATTTTAGTGTCATTTTTGCAATTTTAGTATGAACACATATGAAAACCCAACAGTTTTTGGGTAAAAACGTTTGAAGAATTCCCAGAAAAATGGGAGGTGAAGACTAGGTGGTACTGCTGTGTAGTGAGGCCCCGCTGACAACAGCCCTAAGGAACTTTCATATGGTTTTCTTTGAACATGGGCTACACCCAAAATGGCCGTCTTGATGAGGAAAATGTGGGAAAATGCTGATCAAATAGTGATTTTAGAATAAGGTAAATTCAGAGAAACCAATTTATCAACAAGTCAATGATTCAATGACCATCTGACCATTGGTCCGTGTTTGTCGGCCGTGGTCAGGTCTTATTTGACTTTGTCACTGGCACTGAGTTGTGGTTTCCAGCTTTGGCATGCCTTTGGCACCAAGATGCAGGGACGCTACGTGCTGCTGCTGGTGATTTGTTGCCTCAACGGACCTTGGTCCAAATGTCTGCCCTTCAAATCGGCCCAGTTCTTGTGGTCCCATCTAGATCGTGTGGAATCAGCGCGTGCCTCGCTATTTGGAAGTGGCATCGAACTGGCCAACTCTTGAGCCAGAGCCTCGGTGTCGGGGATTTCTTACGAAGATGCAAGGGGAATCAAGTTGAGTCAGCAACGGGTACAGGGATACAAACTCAACATTTGGGATGGTCATCGGAATTTGGATCTCATTTGTTTCTGCCATCGCCTACGTCCATGGGTCTAGTTTATTATCGCTTATTCATTCATACCAGTTGTGTGGAAAAGATCCTGGTTGTGGAGACCCAAAACGCGCACACTTTCCGAAAAGATTGGCGATTGTCTCTCATGCTTGGTTGATAGGGATTCACTGCTAACTCCAACACAGGCCACTTCTTTCAGCAATTGCTTCACTGAAAAGTCCACTCTGAGGCGCCTGCTCCAGCAGCAACTGACCAGTACACGGACAGCTTCAGCAAGGTTGATGCGATCGTGATCTTTGTCCCCATCGTCGTTGTGTGGATCGCATTCCTGGAGTGGGATTCCAAGCAGCCTTCGGCTGATGACGTCACTGGCTATGGCTACCTTGGGAAGACCATTGATGGGCCTACCGAGGACAAGCCTGCCTACTTCCGCCGCAGCCCTGAGAACGGCTAGATGGTGGGCGTGGCAGCTCTTTTAACTTGACTGATGAAAAGCGCGTTGCTTCAATCCAGTCAAAAGGCCTTTTTGGCATGAGAATGGTGTGTTGATTTTGAAAGAATACGAATACCAATGAGATATGATTTCTTCGCGGATTGTATCGTATAATTTGTGCTCTTTCATGTTTGCAAACTGGCTTGGAACACTGACCTTCAACGATCTTTACTACTTAGTAACTTAGTACAGTTTCATAGCCTTTTTGCATTCCTTTGCAATGCCACAGCTGTCTTCTGTTGGTGGTCAACTTTTCTCCTCTGAGAAGCAGGATTTGAGATGGACAACTGAAGACTTGTAGAACTGTCGAACATTGGTATGTAGCTGACCCTTGATTGCGTTGTGTCCAGAATTTTTTGGTTCAAAACTCAGGGGTCCTCGTGCTTCGGGAGGCCCCTCTGCCACCATGGCACGAAGGGCGCCAGTGCTGCTGTCTGTGGCCATCTTGGCCTTTGGACTGCTGGCCTTGAACCAGGCCTTTGTCGCAGGCCCCAATCAGCCAGCTTTGCGCGGTCAGGAGGCTGCTGTAGCAGGTGCAGTGCTTGCCGCGCTGCCTGCTGCTCCAGCATTGGCAACTGACCAGTACACGGACAGCTTCAGCAAGGTTGATGCGATCGTGATCTTTGTCCCCATCGTCGTTGTGTGGATAGCATTCTTGGAGTGGGATTCCAAGCAGCCTTCTGCCGATGACGTCACTGGCTATGGCTACCTTGGGAAGACCATTGATGGGCCTACCGAGGACAAGCCTGCCTACTTCCGCCGCAGCCCTGAGAACGGCTAGATGGTTGGTGTGGCAGCTCTTTTAACTTGACTGATGAAAAGCGCGTTGCTTCAATCCAGTCAAAAGATGTCAAAAGGCTGTTTTGGCATGAGAATGGTGCATTGATTTTGACAGAATACGAAGAACTTCTTTTATGATGTAGTTCATCATGCAATTGATCTCGTGACTTTGTGCTCTTTCATGTTTGCAAACTGGTTTGGATCACTGATTTTTAGGTATCTTTGCCACTTGGTAACCCAGTACATCTCCAGTCAGTTGCATTCCTCGGCAATGCCACAGCTGTCTTTTGTTGGTGATCAACTTTTCTCCTTTGATCTGTCAGATGCACGCATTCAGAAGCAGGATTTGAGATAGACAATTGAAGACTTGTAGAACTGTAGAACATTGGTATGGTAGCCGACCCTTGACTGTGTTGTGTCCAGATTTTTTTGGTTCAAAACTCAGGGGTCCTCGTGCTTCGGGAGGCCCCTCTGCCACCATGGCACGAAGGGCGCCAGTGCTGCTGTCTGTGGCCATCTTGGCCTTTGGACTGCTGGCCTTGAACCAGGCCTTTGTCGCAGGCCCCAATCAGCCAGCTTTGCGCGGTCAGGAGGCTGCTGTAGCAGGTGCAGTGCTTGCCGCGCTGCCTGCTGCTCCAGCATTGGCAACTGACCAGTACACGGACAGCTTCAGCAAGGTTGATGCGATCGTGATCTTTGTCCCCATCGTCGTTGTGTGGATCGCATTCTTGGAGTGGGATTCCAAGCAGCCTTCTGCTGATGACGTCACTGGCTATGGCTACCTTGGGAAGACCATTGATGGGCCTACCGAGGACAAGCCTGCCTACTTCCGCCGCAGCCCTGAGAACGGCTAGATGGTGGGTCTGGCAGCTCTTTTAACTTGACTGATGAAAAGCGCGTTGCTTCAATCCAGTCAAAAGATGTCAAAAGGCTGTTTTGGCATGAGAATGGTGCATTGATTTTGACAGAATACGAAGAACTTCTTTTATGATGTAGTTCATCATGCAATTGATCTCGTGACTTTGTGCTCTTTCATGTTTGCAAACTGGTTTGGATCACTGATCTTTAGGTATCTTTGCCACTCGGTAACCCAGTACATCTCCAGTCAGTTGCATTCCTCGGCAATGCCACAGCTGTCTTTTGTTGGTGGTCAACTTTTCTCCTTTGATCTGTCAGATGCACGCATTCAGAAGCAGGATTTGAGATAGACAATTGAAGACTTGTAGAACTGTAGAACATTGGTATGGTAGCCGACCCTTGACTGTGTTGTGTCCAGATTTTTTTGGTTCAAAACTCAGGGGTCCTCGTGCTTCGGGAGGCCCCTCTGCCACCATGGCACGAAGGGCGCCAGTGCTGCTGTCTGTGGCCATCTTGGCCTTTGGACTGCTGGCCTTGAACCAGGCCTTTGTCGCAGGCCCCAATCAGCCAGCTTTGCGCGGTCAGGAGGCTGCTGTAGCAGGTGCAGTGCTTGCCGCGCTGCCTGCTGCTCCAGCATTGGCAACTGACCAGTACACGGACAGCTTCAGCAAGGTTGATGCGATCGTGATCTTTGTCCCCATCGTCGTTGTGTGGATCGCATTCTTGGAGTGGGATTCCAAGCAGCCTTCGGCTGATGACGTCACTGGCTATGGCTACCTTGGGAAGACCATTGATGGACCTACCGAGGACAAGCCTGCCTACTTCCGCCGCAGCCCTGAGAATGGCTAGAGATGGTTGGTGTGGCAGCTCTTTTAACTTGACTGATGAAAAGCGCGTTGCTTCAATCCAGTCAAAAGGCCGTTTTGGCAGATTTTGAAAGAATACGCAGAACTTCTTTTATGATGTAGTTCATCATGCAATTGATCTCGGGGCTTTGCGTTCTTTCAGGCTGCAAACTGGTTTGGATCACTGATCCTCAATCATCTTTGCCACTTAGTACATTAGTAGAGGTCCAGTCAGTTTTTTTGTTGGTGGTCAACTTTTCTCCTTTGATCTGTCAGACGCCCGGATTCAGAAGCCGGATAGAAGACTTGTAATACATTGGTATGGTATCTGACCCTTGATCGCACTGTGTGCTAAAAATTTTTGGTTCAAGACTCAGGGGTCCTTGTGCTTCGGGAGGCCCCTCTGCCACCATGGCACGAAGGGCGCCAGTGCTGCTGTCTGTGGCCATCTTGGCCTTTGGACTGCTGGCCTTGAACCAGGCCTTTGTCGCAGGCCCCAATCAGCCAGCTTTGCGCGGTCAGGAGGCTGCTGTAGCAGGTGCAGTGCTTGCCGCGCTGCCTGCTGCTCCAGCATTGGCAACTGACCAGTACACGGACAGCTTCAGCAAGGTTGATGCGATCGTGATCTTTGTCCCCATCGTCGTTGTGTGGATCGCATTCCTGGAGTGGGATTCCAAGCAGCCTTCTGCTGATGACGTCACTGGCTATGGCTACCTTGGGAAGACCATTGATGGACCTACTGAGGACAAGCCTGCCTACTTCCGCCGCAGCCCTGAGAACGGCTAAGCACAGAAGCTCTCCAAGCTTTTTAAGTCAGACTGTGCGTACTCGTTAGAAGGATGGTAAAAGAGAGTGCCTCGTGAGTGGTGATTTGATCGAGGTTTTCAGTCCAGTATCGATAGCAATGAAGCTTCGTTTTGGACACAGTCGATGTTACAATGTTAATACATTTGCACCTCTGCAGCTTGGTTTGTTTTCGCAGTTCTTTCTGTGTTTCTTTTTATTCCCCGGCAAAGGCTCTCTTCCAATGCTCAGTTTCATGAAGGTCTGTGATAGCAAACTGGCATGGCTGAAGCAGCTGCAATGTCCACTCTGCTTCTGCACTGCCCTACTCATGTGCACCTTTTGTTATGATAGGCACCCAATTCAACAGACCATTCCAAGCGCTGTTAAAACCGGACATTCCTGAAAGATGTTCACTTTTCAGGAAGACTTTTTGGTTCAAGACTCAGGGGTCCTCGTGCTTCGGGAGGCCCCTCTGCCACCATGGCACGAAGGGCGCCAGTGCTGCTGTCTGTGGCCATCTTGGCCTTTGGACTGCTGGCCTTGAACCAGGCCTTTGTCGCAGGCCCCAATCAGCCAGCTTTGCGCGGTCAGGAGGCTGCTGTAGCAGGTGCAGTGCTTGCCGCGCTGCCTGCTGCTCCAGCATTGGCAACTGATCAGTACACGGACAGCTTCAGCAAGGTTGATGCGATCGTGATCTTTGTCCCCATCGTCGTTGTGTGGATCGCATTCCTGGAGTGGGATTCCAAGCAGCCTTCTGCTGATGACGTCACTGGCTATGGCTACCTTGGGAAGACCATTGATGGACCTACCGAGGACAAGCCTGCCTACTTCCGCCGCAGCCCTGAGAACGGCTAAGCACACAGCTGACAGAGGTTTTTCGCTCAGACTGCTCAGAAGAGTGTGCCTGAAAAATGTTGCCTTGATTGCTGGTGATGCAAGCAGGATAGGCTGACAGTGTTTGACGTTTTTGGACGATGTTTGCCAGGCAGATTGTTCTTTTGTTGAGTCTTTTGAAGCAGAGGCGGCTTTGGCACAACCTGTCAGTTTCTGTGATGCCTTATTCCAAACACTGCAACAAAATACACTTCATACACATTCCATAGATGCCATCATAACAGAGACGAATCTGTCCCCAAGCAACCTGTACATTACATGCTGAAGACCTTTTGGTTCAAGACTCAGGGGTCCTCGTGCTTCGGGAGGCCCCCCTGCCACCATGGCACGAAGGGCGCCAGTGCTGCTGTCTGTGGCCATCTTGGCCTTTGGACTGCTGGCCTTGAACCAGGCCTTTGTCGCAGGCCCCAATCAGCCAGCTTTGCGCGGTCAGGAGGCTGCTGTAGCAGGTGCAGTGCTTGCCGCGCTGCCTGCTGCTCCAGCATTGGCAACTGACCAGTACACGGACAGCTTCAGCAAGGTTGATGCGATCGTGATCTTTGTCCCCATCGTCGTTGTGTGGATCGCATTCTTGGAGTGGGATTCCAAGCAGCCTTCGGCTGATGACGTCACTGGCTATGGCTACCTTGGGAAGACCATTGACGGACCTACCGAGGACAAGCCTGCCTACTTCCGCCGCAGCCCTGAGAACGGCTAAGCACACAGCTGACAGAGGTTTTTCGCTCAAACTGCTCAGAAGAGTGTGCCTGCAAAAGTTTTGTTTCGGTGTTTTGTCGACGGTTTTTCACGAAAGCTAGCGTCAGCTAGCTGGAGTCTTCTTGCTTTAGCAAGTATTCAGGGGGCTGCTCAAGGACATCACGTGATTTTTCACGTGAAAGGGCCCCCCCCCACCCCACCCCACCCCACCCCACACCCCACCACCTCACCATCATCACATCATCATCATCACACATCATCATCATCATCATCACCATCATCATCATCATCATCATCATCATCATCATCATCATCATCATCATCATCATCATCATCATCACCATCACCATCACCATCACCATCACCATCATCATCATCATCATCATCATCGCCATCATCATCATCATCATCATCATCATCATCATGATCATCATCATCATCACCATCATCATCATCATCTCCACATCCTTAGCACCCTCGTCCTCATCATCATCCCGATCAGCTGCCGCAGCCTCATCATCATCATCATCATCATCATTATCATCATCAGCATCATCATCATCATCATCGTCGTCATCATCATCATCATCTTCATCATCATCATCATCATCAGTATCATCAGTATCATCATCATCATCACCACCATCATCATCATCATCATGAGCATCATCATCATCATCATCATCATCATCATCATCATCATCATCATCATCATCTTCATCTTCATCTTCATCATCATCATCATCATCAACATCATCAGTATCATCATCATCATCATCATCATCACCATCATCATCATCATCGTCATGAGCATCATCACCATCATCATCATCATCATCACCATCAGCATCAGCATCAGCATCAGCATCATCATGTTCTTTTCCTCATCCTGATCATCCTCCTCCTCATCATCATCCCGCTGGCATTGAAGATGCGTCTTCCCTTCCTTCTTTCTCCTACCCCGCTAGCTTTCGTCATCCACCCCCGGCCTCAAGTTGTTTACTGGAATATACAACTCGACAATATACATCCGCAAGATATAAAGCTTCCGACCAGTATGCGAGTCCTTTGATTCAGCAAATTTGGCACAATGGGGTTCTTGCTGTAGATCTGACTCGACATGTAAGGCAAGGGCAAAGCCAACATGACTTCGAATAACACACCGATTTGACTATTTTAAAGAGAGGATGAGATGAATGATCAGAACTGGAGCAAAGCAGTTTCAGTATCTAAGCAGTGTTAGTGTCTATTCTTTGCTTCTGGTGATATCCTGGTGGACCAGACAGTCCTGCTTGCAGCACATTTGCATGTGAGAAAACTTTTTGGTTCAAGACTCAGGGGTCCTCGTGCTTCGGGAGGCCCCCCTGCCACCATGGCACGAAGGGCGCCAGTGCTGCTGTCTGTGGCCATCTTGGCCTTTGGACTGCTGGCCTTGAACCAGGCCTTTGTCGCAGGCCCCAATCAGCCAGCTTTGCGCGGTCAGGAGGCTGCTGTAGCAGGTGCAGTGCTTGCCGCGCTGCCTGCTGCTCCAGCATTGGCAACTGACCAGTACACAGACAGCTTCAGCAAGGTTGATGCGATCGTGATCTTTGTCCCCATCGTCGTTGTGTGGATCGCATTCCTGGAGTGGGATTCCAAGCAGCCTTCTGCTGATGACGTCACTGGCTATGGCTACCTTGGGAAGACCATTGATGGACCTACCGAGGACAAGCCTGCCTACTTCCGCCGCAGCCCTGAGAACGGCTAAGCACACAGCTGACAGAGGTTTTTCGCTCAGACTGCTCAGAAGAGTGTGCCTGCAAAAGTTTTGTTTCGGTGTTTTGTCGACGGTTTTTTGTTTACTGGAACATACAACGCAACAACATTCCATCCGCAAGATATAAAGCTTCCGACCAGTATGCGAGTCCTTTGATTCAGCAGATTTGGCACAATGGGGTTCTTGCTGTAGATCTGACTCGACATGTAAGGCAAGGGCAAAGCCAACATGACTTCGAATAACACACCGATTTGACTATTTTAAAGAGAGGATGAGATGAATGATCAGAACTGGAGCAAAGCAGTGTCAGTATCTAAGCAGTGTTAGTGTCTATTCTTTGCTTCTGGTGATATCCTGGTGGACCAGACAGTCCTGCTTGCAACACATTTGCATGTGAGAAAACTTTTTGGTTCAAGACTCAGGGGTCCTCGTGCTTCGGGAGGCCCCCCTGCCACCATGGCACGAAGGGCGCCAGTGCTGCTGTCTGTGGCCATCTTGGCCTTTGGACTGCTGGCCTTGAACCAGGCCTTTGTCGCAGGCCCCAATCAGCCAGCTTTGCGCGGTCAGGAGGGTGCTGTAGCAGGTGCAGTGCTTGCCGCGCTGCCTGCTGCTCCAGCATTGGCAACTGACCAGTACACAGACAGCTTCAGCAAGGTTGATGCGATCGTGATCTTTGTCCCCATCGTCGTTGTGTGGATCGCATTCCTGGAGTGGGATTCCAAGCAGCCTTCTGCTGATGACGTCACTGGCTATGGCTACCTTGGGAAGACCATTGATGGACCTACCGAGGACAAGCCTGCCTACTTCCGCCGCAGCCCTGAGAACGGCTAAGCACACAAGCTGATAGAGGTTTTTCGATGCGACTGTCGAAGCAGGTTGGCCGGACGCAGAAAAGGAGTGCTTGTTGCTTGCCATTTGAAGCAAGGGAGATCTGTCTTGCTGTGCTGTTGAAAGTTTCATATCAGGGTCATTGGTGGACTTGATGGAGTGTCTTTTTGTTTGCACGTTGCCTTTGGGCTTTGTGGCTTCCGGGTGGTTGGAGTCTTCCGTGCAATCGTGAAGATGATGTGCATTTCATTTCCCTTTCGCATATGTTGTACTCGTAGGTGAACTCTTTGTAATCAAGTGAAAATTCATCGTGCAATCATGCTCCCCTTCGAGATTTTTTTGGCTCGAGACTCAGGGGTCCTCGTGCTTCGGGAGGCCCCCCTGCCACCATGGCACGAAGGGCGCCAGTGCTGCTGTCTGTGGCCATCTTGGCCTTTGGACTGCTGGCCTTGAACCAGGCCTTTGTCGCAGGCCCCAATCAGCCAGCTTTGCGCGGTCACGAGGCTGCTGTAGCAGGTGCGGTGCTTGCCGCGCTGCCTGCTGCTCCAGCATTGGCAACTGACCAGTACACGGACAGCTTCAGCAAGGTTGATGCGATCGTGATCTTTGTCCCCATCGTCGTTGTGTGGATCGCATTCCTGGAGTGGGATTCCAAGCAGCCTTCTGCTGATGACGTCACTGGCTATGGCTACCTTGGGAAGACCATTGATGGACCTACCGAGGACAAGCCTGCCTACTTCCGCCGCAGCCCTGAGAACGGCTAAGCACAGACCGTAGAATCGACGGCGTGCGAAGCTGTAAAACGGCCATTTCAGTCAACATGTGCTCAGTGACGGCTGTCCTCAAGTGACCCAAGTAGACAATCCAAGGTCCAAACATGTTTAATTTGTGTTAATCGCATAGACTGAAAATAGGATACCTCGAAAAAAATATGCTTTATCAGTATCATCATTTGTCATTTTCAATGGCCACAACTGGGGCTCAGAGAATTTTTGAGATGACAAAGCCAAATCCACATACATCATACATTCAAAGTGGGGGAACCCGAAGCTTGCCCGAGCCCGTTGCAAGCTCCCTTGATTCAAGCTTGGGCTCAAAGCAGCCGAAGTGGACCGTTTTACTTACCCGAGAACTCAACTCAGCACCACTTCGGGCAAGCATGGTTTCCGACATGGGTAATGGTAGTAATGGATCAATCTGTTTGAAACATCCGTTTCCTAAACTTACCTAAACCGTCCATTTTTTATGATTGGTTACTGTAAATTTAAGGGCATATCCAAAGCTCCATGGCTTGCCGTAAAAAAGTCCACCATGGCTTTCGACGAATGATTGTTTCAAGCTATCACTGGGAATTTCAGCATGGGATATTCCGAAATAATCCGAAATATATGGTAGTTACCTTCAATAAATCGGTACCTGAAATAGCCCATTCATAATTTCATGATACGTTTTTTTCTTACTTGATAAACATGATAAACGTATGATGAGAATGATAGAAACAGTTACGATCCGTGGGATCCAATTCTGAAGTCTCCGTCCCAATGCGGAATGGCCGCTGGCTGGTGATTTCTGCCTTGGCAGGCGTTTTTAGCTGCGAGCCCTGGTGGTTGATCTGGGGAATCTAGGTGGACTTTTGGGCCCCAAATGCCCAGCCCACGGTCGACAGGTTAGCAAGCGGTCAGTAACTACAGCTACTCGGATGACGGAGTTAGTCCATCATGTTCAGTAGACATTTATATAATATATATTATTATTATTATTATTCTTATTATTATTATTATAATATATTATATATTATTCATTTCTCCGCATGATCAGGAACATCATTTTATGTCGCATTCCTTGAATCCCATTCTGCTTGTTGGCAGCACAGTCCTGATGAAACTCCGCTTGTTTGCCATGCGACCTCGATTTGGTGAACTTCCGAGGCTTTGAACCAAGCGCAAGTCCCAACGATATCCAAGATCTGCCCTGAATTTTGGTGGTGAAATCACACCTTTTGGATCCTTTTGGTATGGTCAGATCATGTGAAATCCCACCTTTCTTGGCAGCCTGGCCGCAGGTCTTTGGCCCTCTGGCTTCCTCGGCAACGTGCGGCGCTCGCCGCGCTGGCGATGCGCACGCCGGGCGGTGAAGGAGCGGTGGCTGAAAAAACTGGCGGTGGTGGAGTTTTTGAGCATCAAAAATGGACTTTGATGGGATATGGATGGGGATAGAATGGAAAATAACTAACCAACTATGGGAATCATTATAAAGGAGCCAGATGAATGGGGCTAGAATGGAAAATTAACTAATTAACCAACTATGGCACTATGGGAATCATTATAAAGGAGCCAGATGAATGAAGATAGAATGGAATATAACTAACCAACTGGATGATAATTGATATACGGGTTTGTCTGAAAGGGAATAGATTCAGGTGCCATTTTATTGCGCAAAAACATGGTTCGCATTAATCTATCGATAGCCTTTTTTTTCAGACCAACCCAAGTAGCCTATGCTATTTCAAGCCATAGATTGAAAACTTAGATTCTATCTTGGGTATGGCTCAAAATTATGAAAAAACCCTGATGGTTTAAGACTGAACAAAATATCAGACTTTGCCGGCCCATTGATACCATAAGCTGGAACCATCCCCAATGTTGGATTGGAATACGGTGGACCTGCCGCTGGGATCATCCCATATTTTACCACTTTTGGGGCTGATCTCAGTGGAATGTTTTGATGGGTGGCCATTCCAAATGGGGGTTTCCATAAATGGGGTATCCCTAAAATCATCCGTTTGAATAGGATTTCCATGATAAACAATCCATTTTGGGGTACCCATGTATGGAAACCCCCAAATGTTGTTAGAGACAACACCAGGAAGCCTTTCTTTGGGGCGTCCATAATGTGATGCGACACCAGGTGCCCCCGGCATATGTGGAGCAGTTCGCCGGCATTCTTCCTGATGACTTTTGCTGGGAGGACCCGCGATGACCCGATGGGTGAAACAACAAGTTGAGGACATGTCTTTTGGGGGGCTACTAAAGTCACCAAAGTTGCCTAGAGAAAATCTGAGAAAATCCGTTTCTCTGAATTTTCTGGATCATTTTGAGGCGTGAAAAAATTGGCGTATCGGACTGCATAAATTGAGCCATTCTCAGCTGGTATCTCCAGCTCCATCCATGCCACTGGTGACGGTATTCCGTATCCACCATGGTGGTCGACCATTGAAATTCTTCCAACTAAATGGAGGTTTGCTGGGAAAATCATCCTCTCAGAACCATCCGACTTGAGCTTGATGTGACCAGCCATGTTTGTTTGCCAAGGCGTACAGTTAAATTCATCCGCAGTTCCTTTCAGATCCTGCAAGGATGGGACCCCCAAAAATCATCTATGTCTATGTGCTATTTTCAATTGCCATGTTTATTACTGAAAGATACTTGCAGTCATCTTACACTCTTTGATCCTACCCTTTGATCCTACCCCAGCTATTGTTTTGTTGTACGACCGCCGTTGATGAAATCATCCACCAAGAACAGGTAATCTACATAGGCTCACCGCAACGGCGAAAAAAACACACATTTTCCCACTGAAAGTTGGTCTCTTTGGCGTGTGAAATGACCAGAGGGTTTTTGTGGGGTGCAGTCAACGCTTATAAGTGACGAACTTGTGGAGGATCACAATGATTGTACCTAATATTTTACTCAATTTACAACCTTAGGTTGGGATATAGCCCTTATAACTACGGATATATATATATATACACAAGAAATACCCAGGTCATACTTTATCACTTTGGTTGTGCCATGGCTTGGAATAGCCTCTAGTAATCAAACATGGCTTGCTGGAATATCCACAAGCAATAGTTCGATGATTTTCCCATACCTAAATCCACCAGCAATAGTTCGGGATTCCCAGCCATGATGACACCGAAGGGTATAACCCTAATTGTTGTTTATATAATCATGTGTATATATATATACATATGTACATATATATATATATATCCAATATTGTCTAATGATATCCCCAACATTTCCCTTTATATTCCCATAGTTGTTGGGTAAATCGACGAGAAAACCCTGTTTGGAGCATCATCCCACAAATCGCAACTGGTTCATAGCCCTGGTGACCGCAAGTCTAAGTGGATTATTCTACCACACGAATATCAGTGGCTTTTGACCATGGTAAACTGTCACATAACAATTTTTCAGATCACAATTTTTAAATAATGGTAAATCCTCGTTATAAAATGGTGACATAGCTGCCATAGCTACAAGGTGGTGCTCCCCCAGTTATAAGTTGGTTTATAAACCCCCATTAAGTATGGGTATATCAGTATATCTAGCATTAACCCAAGTTATTGGAGTTATACACCAACTTAGCTAACTATTGGGCACCACATTGTATGTTAGTTTACTGGGGGGGTATAACTCTGGCTACGAACCGCTGGTCGTGTGATCCGCAGGAATTCTTGCAGGCCTCAAGACGCCCCGTGCGGCCCTGCGTGCGCGTGAACCGCCTGAAGGCTACACCCCAAGGCAGGCTGAAACTGCCATCCCCGGTGGAAAAACATGTTGATTTAAGCTGTAAGAAATGGTGATGAAAGCTGCTGGAACATGGGGATTTATAGTTTATTTGGTGTTAGCTAAAAAGCTACCAAGCTATGTTTGTTGATTGACTACACCACTATGGCTACTAGTTCGATATGTCCACCATGAAGCCAAAACCTTGGAGTTATGTTTGCCAACTTAGCTAACTATGGAGCACCTCCTTACGAGACTGGTGGATATTGTAGAATTTACCCATGAAATGGG